AAAAAAAACATATGATAACGTATTGCGTTTACATTTTATTATTGAGTAGACGTAATTTGATATCCTGGATAAATTTGTCACTTTTAATGTACATTTGCAATCGTTTTCTAAATTTAATTGCTACAACAGATGTGTTTTTTTAAAATAAATATAAGCCAATGCTTGACCACAATCCCACCTGGTGGTAAGTGGTGATGTAGCCTTAGATGGTAAATCGCACTGTCTTATCGTAACAAAATGCTATTCAGTCTTGCCTTGAAGACGCCCAGATTGTATTCGGACGGATAGATGGACGCCGGAAAATTATTCCACTCCTTTGCTGTACGCATTACAAAAGATGAAGCAAACCGTTTGGTTCTAATGCGTGGCATATCGACAACAAAGGGATGAAGACCCGCCGACCGCCTCGTTGTCCGATGGTAGAAAGGAGAGGGAGGAATCAAAGCTTGTAATTCCTGTGCACATTCACCGAAATGCATCCTATAGAATACCGAGAGACTGGCTACTTTGCGTCTGTGTTCGAGGCTGACAAGACTGGTTTCAACCAAATCAAGGTCACCAATGAGCCTCTTAGCACGTCTCTCCACTGAGTCCAATGTTGCCAGGTGGAATTTTCCAGCACCAGTCCATATGTGACGCAACTGTCTAGACTTATCCTCCCAAAAATGGATTTAACCTAGCATCATATCGTAACACGACTTGAGATATTTGGTGGAACGGCTTTTCTGGGTGGGTGGTGACTAATACTCTGTAGGTGATGACTAGCAACTACCGGGGGTATACGATGAGAGTCAGGATTCAAGTAGTTCATACGTTTGCGAGCAACTTCATTCCCCGGCGGAGAGTTCTTTGAAGAGGCTTAATAATAAATAAATAAGTGAGTGTCGTGGAACACTCGGTTGGAACGAAGTTCTTTTCGTAATATATTATTATTGATAAATTTATTATATTATTGATTCACAAATACAAATAAATGAATTACTAGCGTCTATTAAAATGAAGCGTCATTTAAAATAAAATAATATTTCTTTCATGGCAAGATAAGAAAAAGTGCGAGGGAGATGGATACTATCCCATCTCGCTTCCTTGCCAAGGCCGTCTACACTACGTCAGAAGGGGTCGTGACGGAAAAATCTTATACTTTTTCTCGCCTATCCCCCATTTGCCAAATTCGTACCGTCCGATAAGAAACTTCGTTCCAAAAAATTTATCCATAAAACTTTTTTAGATTCGCATAACTTTATGGGTGGTCCACAAATTTTTTTTTTTACTTGCCTCATTATGTCGTAACTTTATCTTATGAGAGTCTAGAAACTTCCTTCTCAGTCGTTCGGCGGCTTTACGATTTAAATAGTCGAGCCATTAGCACCTCAGTATACTGATACGCACATAATTATATCAAATTGCTTAATTATATTGTTATATAACGCATTCTTCGCTCGTCGCTCATCGAGGCCAACTTAAGAATTTATAACAATGAAACATTTTGAGATTATCTAATTTCATATATCAATGAAAATACTTTCAGTGATCAGTAAACTTTGCCATCAGTTATGAAGGTAATGATAAGTATGATGCAGCCCACCAAAAGTCCACTGCTGAACAAAGGGTTCCAAATACCCGTCCAATTTGCTATAGCCACAGAATAGAAAATATTACAAGTACCATAGCTGAAACGCTTGGCATGCGTGTTGACAACCGCAGTTTTTTATTAGTTTCAGTTGTTATCAGGAAAATGCTGGTGCCCATATCCTACTTCAGGTTCCCCCTGTCGCCCACGGCATAATATGGGGTATTGGATTCTATTACGCTACCACTACAATATCTAAAGTATCATCATCATCATCAACACTGCAGCCCTTCACAAGTCCACTGCTGCACATAAGCCTCCCCCAAGGATTGCCACAAAGCACGGTCTTGTGTTTTTTTTTATAGAATAATGGTGACAAACGAGCACACAGTTCACCTGATGGTAAGTGGTTGTTGTGGTCCATATACATCTACATCTATCTTCGTTTGCGAATTAAAATGCAGATGCGTTGTCAGCCGTGAGGACTAAGATGGAATACCTCTTTTCCAGTAAAAATGGTGTCCGGTTTTCCACACTCACCATACGAAACTATTTACGCTGGTAATCTGTGAGAGCGTGATCCTTCCCTGGTCGAGCCGACCTATTCGTGCTACAACTATACTATTAATATAGCTGCAGCTTGGCTCTACCACGTATACCTGCATCCATAGAATTCCTGCATGTCTTACCAGGTCATCAGGTTTATCTATAATATACTTCACTCTAACGTCGGTTGTTCCACTCGAAAAATTATTTTAGTAAGAAGTTATTTTGATACTATACTAGACGATTGGGAAGAGAAACCTAAATAATAATAATTCTTAATGTCTTAGTTGATTCTAATTGTTCCCTTAATATTTTCTACGTAATCATTGACAACTATTTTCGCAATGACGTGCTAATTAATCAAAGAGTAATATAATATTCATAAAAAAAAAAACACTTTACAATATTGCCGTTTTACGATTCACATCTTCACTACCATAATAAACCGGCTAAGTGCGAGGCGGGCCTGCCTCTATTGGGGTTATGTACGTACATATTATAAGTAACTAGCTGGTGTTTTACTTAGGAATAATAATACATTCATTGAATATGACTGATATATATCTTTCAAATAGTCGGTACGATGATGCCTGGTGCCTATAACCTTCACGGAAGTGCAAGCAATAAGTTTTGGCGCAATCTGATGAACGGTATAGTAGCGCATAAAATACGAACAAACAAAATATATTAATTTTTATATATAAGACTATCTTAAAAACGGCAAGGCCCCAGACGAGGATGGAATTACAGCGGAGCTTCTGAAAACGGGTGGAAAACCGGTACTGGAAGTCCTTCAGAGGCTCTTTAATTCCGTCCTTCATGGTGGCATTACACCGGAGGCGTGGAGCAGAAGTGCGGTGGTTTTGTTCTTCAAGAAAGGTGACAATGCTCTCTTGAAGAACTACAGACCGATTTCCCTTCTAAGCCGCGTCTACGTGCTGTTTTCGAGAGTCATTACGAATCGTCTCGCATGCAGACTTGACGACTTCCAGCCTCCCGAACAAGCCGGTTTCCGAAAGGGCTTTAGCACCATAGACCACATACATACCCTTCGGCAAGTTGTACAGAAGTCCGAAGAGTATAATTTGCCATTATGCCTGGCGTATGTGGACTATGAGAAAGCCTTTGAATCCGTCGAAATTTGGGCGGTGCTGCAGTCCCTTCAGCGGTGCCAAGTTGACTGTCGGTATATCGAAGTGCTGAAGTGCTTGTACAGTAGGACTACGATGGCTTTCCGAGTACAGAACCAGAGTACGAAACTTATCCAATTGCAGAGAGGTGTAAGACACCGAAACTCTTCACCGCTGCATTGGAAGACGTTTTCAAGCTTCTGGACTGGAAAGGATACGGTATTAACATCAATGGCGAGTACATCACTCACCTTCGATTTGCCGACGATATAGTCCTTATGGCAGAATCGCTAGAGGACCTAACCACTATGCTCAATGACCTCAATAGTGTCTCCCAACGGATAGGTCTTAAGATAAACATGGACCAAACAAAGATTATGTTTAATGTCCATGTCACACCTATGCCGGTAGTTGTTGGGAGCACTAAGCTCCAAGTTGTTGACGAGTATGTTAACCTGGGACAAATAGTCCGACTAGGTAAGTCCAAATTCGACCGAGAGGTCAATCGACGGATTCAACTCGGCTGGGCAGCGTTCGGGAAACGACGACACATCTTCTCGTCAGACATACCTCAAAACCTTAAAACTAAATTGTACAACCAGTGCGTGTTGCCAGTGATAACTTACGGATCTGAGACGTGGTCCTTCACTGCTGACCGTATGAGGATGCTCAAGATCGCTCAGCGAGCTATGGAGAGGGCTATGCTCGGAGTTTCTCTGCGTGATAAACTTAGGAATGAGGATATCCGCAGTAGAACCAGAGTAACCGACATAGCCCAACGAATTAGTAAGCTGAAGTGGCAGTGGGCCGGCCATATAGCTCGAAGAACCGACAACTGATGAGGAAGAAAGGTTCTTGAGTGGCAGCCTCGTATCGGTAGGCGAAGTGTAGGGCGACCCACTACGAGATGGAGTGACGACCTGATAAGACATGCAGGAAGTCGATGGATGCAGGTGGCTCACGACCGTGCTTTGTGGCATTCCTTCGGGGAGACCTATGTTCAGCAGTGGACTTATGAAAGGCTGTAATGATGATGATGAGACTAGCTGGTACCCGGCGCGTTGCTGCCGCAAAAGAAATAATTGTAGCAATATCATTTTAAATATAGAAGAGTTATGTCGTTTAATTAGGAATGATATTGAAGTTGAACGTAAATAACTTGATATGATACGCGCGCCACCTACTCGTACTCGTTTTGTAGAATTGTACTATGGCTATAACCTTCCCGCAAGTACAAGCAATAAGTTGAAAAAATTTTAGTGCAATCTGGTGAACAGTATGGCAGCGCATAAAATACGAACAATATTAATTTTTATACATTACATTACTTATTTCCAAAATAAATATGTTGTCATATGCGTTGTCATATACGACTTTTGTTGCAATGTCGTTTTTCGTACGACATCTCATAACTACTTAATTATTTCTTTCTATTCGTGAATGTATATATAACAACAAATATCCAAATATCGACATTTAAGAATAATAACGTTACAAATAATAAAAGTGTCACGCTATCGACACCGGTAAGACTTGGATAAGGCGAGGGTTGCATCCCTGTCGTACCAGCGCGGAGTCATACAGTAGCAATTTTAAATTAGGTATTTCATGTGTTAATCCGGGACAAACCAAACTAACCACTGCTCTTTCAATTTTGCAGGTACATAATATGCTTTAGAAACAAAATGTGCTGCCGTAAATATTAATGAAAATCTTATTCATACAAGTTATAAGTTCAATTACAATCTGCAGTCATGTCAAATATCGAGACGAGTCGCGATAACAAAACCGACGTGCAGAATAAGGTAAATTATTGTAATTGTAAAAATATTTTTACTTCTTCTTCATCATCAGCCAGTAAAAATACACTGGTGGACATGGGGCCGCTCCATTTTAGGAAAGATTTAGCTTACGCTTAGCAGGTGGATAAACGATAGTAGTACCAAACTCTTGTCTTCGCCTGTTTGAGTATTTTGCGTCTAGTCTAGTACGTAGGACACTCAATAAGTTTTAAGATATACAAAAAGTATTCTAGATACTATTAATATTAATTTTACATCTTTTCAAAATATTCTTCATTATGTGCTATACATAGTTCCATTCGCCTAAACCAACTCTGAAAAAACTTTCGCCAGTCTTGATCTAACAAGTCGGAAATAGCTTCTTCGTAGGCAGCCACGGCTTCTTCGGCGCTTGAAATAAACTTGCCTTTTATTTTTTCTTTGACTCTTGGGAACAAAAAGAAATCACAAGAAGCTAAGTCAGGGCTGTAGGGTGGGTGACTTAGAGCTTCAACACCAGATTCCTCAATAAATGCTTTTGTTCTAAGGGAGGTATGTGAAGAGGCGTTATCGTGATGCAGCATGATTCCCCGAAGGTGGTCTTCTCTCCCGCACATTTTGAAAAGCTTTCGGTAGTGCAATTAGTATACCATTCAGAGTAGACTGACCTACAATTTTCCAGCATTGACGTCGACAAATGTCCGCTCCGCGAAAAAAAACTAGCCACCATTTTTTTGCCGGCGTTGGGAGGAGGACGTCTTTGCAGTTTTTTCGGTAACTGCCCTTCTCAGTAGACCCATACCGATGATTGCCTTTTAATTTCCGGATCACATTAATAAATCCATGTCTCGTTACCAGTAACGATTTCTAAAACACGCCTAGATGCCCCGTTTTCAAAACGTTCACACACGAGTCTGTTTTTCGCTTTCGGAGAGCAAACGAGGGATCCATCGACAACAAAGCTTCCTCACTCCAAGATGTTGATGTAGGATGGTATGAATGTTCCCCGAACTAATGCCTACAATCTTTTCGATGTCCGTATATGTGATTCGTGGGTCTTCTCGCACCAACATTTCAGTAGTCCATACATTTTCTGCCGTTACTGCTGTTTGCGGGGCCACCGTTCTTAGGTCATCTTTAAGATTAATTTTACCCCTTTTGAATTCAGAAAACCACCTAAAAATTGTTGCGAGTGAGGGAGCTGAGACCGGTAATGCTGATTGTAACCGTTGTAAACTTATTTGTTCGGTTAAACCAAATTTAAAATCATAATATATCATAGCGCGCAAATGTTCACGGTTAAGATCTATCGTTTTAAATGAGAAGCGCGGGAAGCGTTGCAGAAAAGTTAATAGAACTTTGTTTTTTTTTAATACTGAGTTTGCTTATGGAGTTCTATTTTTAAATAAATTTGCTTTTTAGAAACATATAACACGGGTGCGTTCCATTTTTAAATTTCGAGCATCTCAAAACTTATTGAGTGACCTATAAGAGTGACGTATAAGAGTTTGTTATTCCGCCATCTATAGGGAACTATATGATTTTTCTGGCATTTCCCAAAGTCACATTTTAAGACACCTACGGGACGGGTTCGATCACCGCAGACACCACTGAAATCGTTAATTGCAATTTTAAGTACTGTTTTACCACGTGCTTGGCGGTGAAGGAAAACATCGTGAGGTAACCTGCACGTCTGAGAAATTAAAAAAAACATATTTCGAAGACATGTGAAGTCCACCAACGCACTGAGGCAGGAAGGCGGACGTTACCTTGCCCTAAACCCTCTCAGAAGTTAGAGGTTAGAGGAGGTAGAATGTATTCTACGAGACGAAATGGGGTAATCGTTTCTCACACACTGACATCAGATGTAAAATATATAAATCTACATTTAAATTGATATAACTTTACCTAATACAGTAATTATTATAAAAACTATAATAAAAAAAAACAACTTAAACTAAGTACTAACTTAATTATCATACAGTCCTACTCCTCGCAGTATTGTGCCAAGAACGCTGGCTACGTTTCCCCGCTGAATGGATATACTTAGCCTTTGTGCGAGAAAAGAACCAGCCCTCTTATCCAATACGACACCACGGAAATTTGTTCTTGTAATTTTATGTGTTGATTTACCACGTGTCGGCAGTAAGGGAAAATATGAGGAGATAAAATTCATGCTGGCGCGCATGCCTGAGAAATAAAGGATATGTGAAGTCTACCAACAAGTGCAGTAGCAACGTAGCGGAGTAACTGCTCCAAAAGTCCAAAACTCTCCCATAAAGTAAGAGGAGCCCGGTATGCAGCAGAGGGACGTATTTAGGCTGTAATTTAACTTTCGTAACGGTGAAACTGGTTATGCGCACCAGAGTAACCGACACGACACAACAATTTAGTAAGCTGCAGCTATACTAGTAGTAAAGTTGTAGCACGAATGGGTCGGCTCGACAGGGAAAGGACCACGCTCTCACATAATACCAGTGTAAATAGCAGCATAATGCTGTTGTTCCGTGGTCTGTGAGTGTAGAGAACCGGAGACCCTTTTTACTGGAAAAGAGGCATTCCATCTTAGTCCTCACGGGTGACAACGCATCTGCATTTTGGTTCGTAATCGAGGATAGATGTGGATGTCTATGGGTCACAGCAACCAATTACCATCAGGAAGACTGTGTGCTCGTTTGTCACCCTATCCTATAAAAAAAAGCTGAATGGGCAGGTCATATAGCTCAAAGAACTGACAACCGATGATGAAAAAAGGTTCTCGAGTAGCAGCCTCGTATGGGTAAGCGAAGTGTAGGGCTGCCCCCCTTAAATGGACAGACCACTGGTAAGATATGCAGGAAGTCAATAGATGCAGGAGGCTCAGGATCATGTTTTGTGGCACTCCATGCATGGCATGTTCAGCAGTGGAATTATGAAGGACTATGAGGAATTATTGAATGAATGAACGATGAAACCATTTAAATGATTCAAAAGTAACCTAATTAAAAGTGAAAACCACCACAATAAAGTTTGTTGTTAATGCTATGCCCGCACAGAATACTACCGTTAAATAGTAGAGTAATGCTCTTGTGTTTTGTACTTTAGATAGATACTTTATTGCACTCAAAACAATCTGGTACAAAGGCGAACTCAACGCCGAAAAGGCATTATCTGCCAGCTGCCTTGGGTAGTGTGGTGAGGGCTATATATATATATATATATATATATATATATATATATATATATATATATATTAAAAATTGGTGTAAATATGTTTTCTGTGCTAAAAATATCATTTGTAATTTGTAATTAGTAAGTATATCATTTGTAGTTTTGTACGTGGTAGAGCCATGCTGCAGGTATATTAATAGTTATAGTTGTAGCACGAATGGGTCGGCTCGATCGGGGAAGGACCACGCTCTCACAGAATACCAGCGTAAGATAGCATCTTAACACTGCTGTGTTTCGTATGGTGAGTATAGAGATCCGGCGACCCTTTTTACTGGAAAAGAGGCATTCCATCTTAGTCCTCACGAGTGACAATGCATCTGCATTTTGATTCTTTATTGAGGATAGATGTGGATGTCTATGGGTTACAGCAACCACTTACTATCAGGTGGACTGTGTGCTCGTTTGTCACCCTATCCTATAAAAAAAAGTAAGGTTGGCTCTACCAGAGGTAGAGCGCGATTTAATTAACTGCCTCGTATCAAAATTTGTCAATATTGTGTTCTGATTTTGGAACGTAATATTTTAGGCAATTAAAGTTTCTCAATACGTATAATATTTTTATATAATAATTTACTTTATAAGATTATATCATATATTGGTTGTATGTATTTGATTGCACAATTATATACTTAAATCCTGAACCTAAAATTACCATAAAGGATACGTAAGTGCTATCTACTCTTCGCGTTCTATTTCAAGAACGGTAAAATATGTGAAGCATATTTTCTAAAATCAAATTTGTAAAATGTTTAATAACTCCAAATGTTATTTGTAGTAAAGAAAACAAAATGTTTACAAAAATAGTATTTTTTCAATATTTTACCTTGAATACCTTGACGATACGTATAAAGTTAACGTATAGAATGCTAAAACAAAGAATTAATTATACAAGTTTATAGCTCTCGTTCCGAGACTGACCTCTTTTTGCACTTTATTGTACTTAACTATTATATTATGAAAATCACATTTAATTAACATTTAACTACAACCATTTGTCTTAACTGGTCATGCTTTTTGTTGCGAACCTCAAGTTTTTTTGGTTCCTCTATTACTAATGTGACGACTTTAGTGGTTCAGTGTTTGAAGAAAAGAAAATTTCAAATTGTTGAGTGAGTTACCAAATTACCTTTGTACAAATTATATTAAGTAGAGTAAAAAAATGTATAGCTAACATGCATTGATGATGATGCACGATGAATCACGATGATCATAATAAGAATAGTTTTTTGGCCATAGTCATGAATTTATTCATTAATTTACTGTATTGTCTGCAAAATCAGAAAATTCAGACGTCTAAATAGTCTGGTAAATGGTAATACATGAAAATTACATTACATTTATATATTACATACATAGATACATGCAGGTCAAACTAATATAAGGGCGTAAAAAATAAGTTTTTGTGGATGCAAAACGTGGTAATATAACATGAAGTTGTAAAGACATTGGTAACATAATGATTTTTTAATTTTTTTTAATAGGTTTTGTGTGATAAACGAGCACATGGTCAATGATGATGACTGAATCTCTATCCTCGGTTAAGAATCAAAATGCATCTAGCGTTGTGGACTAAGGTGGAATGCCTCGTTTCCAGTAAAAAGGTTGAAGTAGAGGTTTACCTCTGCGTTTCGCTTGGTGAGTGCAGGTGGCCGGAGGCCCTTTTTACTGGAAATGAGGCATTCCATCTTAGTCCTCACGGGTGATAATTTATCTGCATTTTGATTCGCAAACGAGGATAGATGGGCCACAGCAACCACTTACCATCAGGTGGACTGTGTGCTCGTTTGTCACCCTTATCCTATAAAAAAAAGGGTCTCCGGTTCTCTACATTCACCATACGAAACACAGCAGCACTAAGCTGCTATTTACGCTGGTATTCAAGCCGACCCATTCGATGCTATACAATTTCGAGTATAATATAGCTGCAGTGTGGTAATAATACATTATTCATGGTTACAAAAATATATGAGTATTCATGATTAAATTATTTGTTGAATAAATAAAACAATGTAATAATGCTTATTATCCTTAGGATACACGGTCGCCATTTATAAGTTTTTCATTATCGGGTAATATAAGAAAATGTTGGGTTACCACATTATGTTTAACAATAGCTGAAGTTTTTCCTTTTGTAATATTATCAACAAAGAAACATGATCTTTAGTTCAGTGCTTGAATAAGTACCTACTTTTTCTATTTCCTTGCCTGCAATGATTTTAGTATTTTTAACCGACTTCAAAAAGGAGGAGGTTCATAATTCGAGTGTATGTTTTTTTTTGTATGCAGATTGTTAACCAATTTTGATGATTCTTTTTTATTAAATAGGTTATACTTCATCCTATATAAATTTGGAGAAAAAAAATTCACACATAAGGATAGCAAATAAATAACTTCTTTTTTAGAAATTTTAAGACGGTTTTTAATTTTTGTTATAATTATTCCAACATAGTAACGGTATTAAGTTCGCAGTGTAGTGGTGACGTAAGGGAGTCTATCGCCGTATTTCATCGCGTATATTTATTAATCGGTGCCTTTGGGATTCCTTAGAAATATCTCATAGTTCCGATAGATGGCGGTATAATCGTCTCGTTTACGCCAAACGTAAAAAAAATGTCCGACTGGCGTAAACGACATGGTTACCGTAGACCGGTGATGAGGAACAATGTCAAAGATGCGAGATGCCTGGCCGTGCGATCACCAATCCGCTGGCCAAGCGTGGCGATTAAGGCGAATCTTCGAAACGGGAGAATTCCAGCAGTAGACTTTGCGACTGACGAAGAAGAACAACGGTATTAAAATGTGGATTGAATTTGTATTTAAGTTTGTACGTACTTCGTTTCAATATGTATAGATTACTAATTATTATCGAATAACATTTATTTATATACTATTGAAATATATATATATATATATATATATATATATATATATATATATATATGTATATATAAATATATATACCTACTATTTTTAACAATCAACCTTCCCTGATCTATTTCCGAGATCAAAAGTGTAATCTCCTGTTGTATTTACCGATATATTATATGGATATATGTGGAAATAGATCAGGGAAGGTTAATTGTTAAAAATAGTAAAAGTGTCTAGTGGTTGTAGTAGTGCGACTGCTGATCATGAGGTCCCGGGTTCGAATCTCGAGTCGGGCCAAAAAAAATCAGTTATTGAGTTTTTCCAATAAAAAAATTCGAATAAAAATCTCGGAAAGCACGTAAAGCCGTTGGCCCTGCGCCTGATCTCTCTTCGGTCGTGTCGGTTTACCGTCCCATCGGACTATGAGAGTAAGGGAATAGAGAGTGCACCTGTGCTTGCGCGTACACTTGGGCACTATAATCCTGTCCTGCGCCGATGGCTAGTCTCCATTGATTCTGACCGCCGTGACCGAAATTCGGTCTGGAGGACATTATATTCTTGCCACAACTACACACTGCTGTAACGTAAAGGACATAATTACATGATAAAAAAAACTACCACTAACACTACCCATCTCAATGTATAACAGGGCAGCCTCTCAATGACACCATCTTCCTTGCCGGCACCAGCAGAACCAGTACAACGGATATAACCAAGATACTATCTTAGCACTACTACTACGTAGAGTGACTTTGATGGGATCTCCCGCGCACGACGCCTATTGTGAACTTTATACTGCATCAACGAGTAGGGGTTTCTCGATATACCCAAATTCCACCTCGCTAACAACCATATGACGCTCCGCTAGAGTAACGCAACCTCTCGTTCACTCTCGTTCACTCTCGATCCAATCGGTATTTTATAGACATGCCGTCATATAGTATTCTTAATAAAAACTAAAAACTATACTTAATAAAAAAAAGTAAAACCAAAAACTTAAATTCTCAAATAGTCCTACTCTCCGTAGTATCGTGCCCAGAACGCAGGCTGCCTTTGAGCAAGAAAAGAACCAGCCCTCTTATCACTATCTGCGACAACCAGTCGTGGATACAGAATTCCTTTAGGCACTTCATTACACGTGGACCCCACGGACCGATATCTCTCGGAGACTCATATTTGCGCCACTTACTTAGTTCAATTGTTTCTGATGCCGCCCCGGATCTATACGAGCTAATCCCGAGATGAGAGGCTGCCAAAGAGTCTACGCAAATAGCATCTCACACAAGGGCTGTACCTCTCTATGGTCGGGTCTCTTGCCATCGTCTCAAAATATTCCACAATTATAGAGACAAGAGTTCTTCGGATGACATCGTTCAAAGAACCTTAATGGTAAAATTTACCAGCACTTCATTTTAATAACATTAATATGAAAGCAACACTTAAAAAATTACAAGTATGATATAAAAATTACCTACGTAATTTGCCAATGGAAACATTACGTTTGTGGTTTGTTCTTCTTGGCTAAAAATCGGACAAAAAGAGGAACTGGCTTTCAAGTATCAAACTAACAATAATTTAATTTCCATAAATTAAATTCCCAAAGCAATTTACTTTGGTTAACAAATTTTAGTAAAAATAAGTGAATACCTACTAGTTATTTTAAAAACATCGTTCTCTTAAGATTATTAGATTAGTAGAAGCCCGGAGTCAGTCGGTCCTGTTGTCGTATCGGAGTGCCATGCCAGCCCATCACTCATACCAGACTATGAGAGTGAGGGTATAGAGAGTGCTCCTCACCACATCTTCAATTCTCGTGTCGCGGTGTTTGTTACCAAACTCCTCCAAAACAAAACAGCTGAACCGATTTGTATGAAATTTTGTGTGCATATCGGGTAGGTAGGTCTGAGAATCGGCCAATGTCTATTTTTCGAACCCTTAAATGATAAGGGTGACCCACTCGTGCTGCTCGTGCACAACAATCCTGCCGTGTCCTGTGCAAATGGCTAGTCTCCGTTGAAACCCGCCGCCGCGCCGTGACCTATCATGCCCTTCGGTCTGGAGGTCATTATAAATTACACAGGTAGACTGAATGGCCGTACTCTATACATATAATAAAACTGTAGAAACGATCCACGCAAAAATCTATGAAATTTTGTATATTGGCAGTAAATGACTGTATATAACAATTATATAAGCAACTTTAAGCAACCTATAAGCAACCTATAAGCAACTTTTTATCCGCTTACGGAAGAGTAAGAAAAACGATTGTTTTTCATTTTTTTTAAGTTTATTGTCATTATGGCTGCTGATGGTTCTATTAGTTCTAAAGAGGATTTATGTATACGTATAATAAATCTATAGAAAATTGTATGTGTGAAAGTGAAACTCATCGCGCCACTAACCAGTAAAGAAGGAATACCGTCTGCCGGGCCACTTAGTAATTAATATATTTTGCTTATAATTGTAAGCGCTTAGCAATAATATTTCAATTGTTTATGAATCCACTCTAAAAAATTTGAATTATATAGAAATACTAGCTGACCCCAAACGTTGTTTTGGCATATAAATTAAAAATCGCGATTAAAAAACGTAGAAGAATGAAAATTTGAAGTTTTATGTATTTTTCAATGCTAAATCATAATAAAATAAAAATAAAAAAAAATGTCAAAAAAATTAAAAAAATATATTTAGCGGTGGGTCACCCTTATCATTTAAGGGTTCGAAAAATAGACGTTGGCCGATTCTCAGACCTCTAATTCAGATCAAATTTTGTGTGCATATCTACCCGATATGCACACAAAATTTCATACAAATCGGTTCAGCCGTTTCGGAGGAGTTTGGTAACAAACACCGCGACAAGAGAATTGAAGATGTGTTGTTATCGGTTATAATTATGAATATTGTATTTAAATGAATTCTACAATAATACTATCTACATTATATTTTAATTTTTTATCAATTAGATATTTAAATTTCAAACTATCATTAGATTTTTCCGGAACGTCCTATTGTTGAACAAAATACGAAATATCATTAATGTTAATCTTGTGATAAGTAAATAAAATAAACATGTGCGAGATATTTCTAATCACATTAGTATTTTTCCACTAACTAAAACACTAACACTATTAGAGTTTTGGATTTAAAAAAAAGTTATAGGAAATTAATCCTGAGGTTTAGCAGACTAAAATTTATAGAACGCACGTGAACTGTGTTCTTTCGTTACATAACTAATAAAATATTTTTAGATCCATGTGCTTATAAACGTCGTAAAAGTAAAAACTTGGCCAGAGCGAGCGAAGCATTACTCGTAATCACAAGTTGCGTTCTAACTTTATTGTGGTGTGTTATCTTATCAAACATTTTAACTTCACAATCAATTGTTCCACAGTATCTGTTAACATTTCGCTTGTATCAGGTTGTGTCATTAATTAAAATGTTTTATTTTACAGCTCAAACAAAACGGGGACGTCGAAAAAGGTCAATCTCATAATTTAGTGTCAAGTGTATCGTGGAGCAAGGTTATCGTGATGTTATTGGCTGCGAGCGTCCTTGTGGCGGCGTGCACAGTTGCCTGGGTGTTCCAAGACTGGCAAACAAGTGTTCAAGTGCTCGCTATACTTTTCGTTGTTTATGTCATTGCATTTTACTGGAGATGGATTTGGATAGCAATGAGAACAGCGAAGAGAGATTTCTTGTAAGTTTGCATTTCGTTCATTTAACAATGAAGATAGTCGCTTTCACTGTGAATATTAAATTTAATTTTATTTCCTTCCAGGGCGTTATATTGCTATATCAAAATTTTATTACTGACGAGGTCGTTTACTAAAAAAAATTACTCAATGCCAGATATATTTCACGATGTTGTCTTGAAACATCCAGATAAAGCTTGCTTCCTTATCAATGACGAAACATGGACTTTCAAACAGGTTTAAACTTTTAATAAATATATATTTTAAACTAACTCTGTTAATTTAGTAAATATATTATGGAGCAATTTATTTACTATTTTTCAATCGACTTCAAAAAGTGGGAGAGGTTTACAATTCGGCGGAATCTTATTTTTATGTATGTTCACCGATTACTCGAAGACGCCTGAACTAATTTGGAAAATTCTTCTTTTGTTTCAAAGGGTATAATTCCCAGGTAGTCCCATTTAAATTTTATCGAAATCGGTCGAGCGGTTTTTTTATAGGATAGGGTAACAAACGAGAACACAGTCCACCTGATGGTAAGTGATTGCTATGATCCATATATATCTATATCTATCCTCAATGAAGAATCAAAATACAGATGCGTCGTCACCCGTAAGGACTAAGATGGAATGCCTCTTTTCCAGTAAAATGGGTCTCCGGTTCTCTACACTCACCATACGAAACACAGCAGTGTTAAGCTGCCTTTTTACGCTGGTATTCTGTGAGAGAGTGGTCCTTCCCCGGTCGAGCCGACCCATTCGTGCTACAACTATACTACTAATATAGCTGCAGCATGGCTCTACCACGTATAAACGATTATAACACGTTTTGAAAAAATCAACAATAAATTATATTTATATTGAAGTCGGTTATACAAAATTTTTAATTTTACCACTTGTTACTTTACTTTTTATTATTACTTACTTAACACTACATGATAAATAAAAGGGTCAAACTTGCAGGTAGAAGATTTCAGTTTAAGAGTATCGGCAGCATTAAAAGCTAAAGGTGTAAAGCGAGGGGACACAGTTGCGGTTATGATGAGCAACTACCCAGAGATGCCAGCTATGTGGCTGGGTATCACGCGCATCGGGGCCGTCTCTCCGTTGATCAACACCAACCAGACAGGCAACACGCTTCTGCACTCTATCAATGTTGCTAAATGTGATTTCGTGATTTATGGGAGTGAATTCGAGCATGGTATGTAATGGTTTTTATAATAATAATTTTAGTTTCAGAGCAGACATAGTTATTAAGGTTTTTGCTTTTTTTATATTATTCTAAGCCAGCGCTTAACTACAATCCCACCTGATGAAAGTGGTAATGTAGCCTAAGATGGCCAAGCGCACTTAACAAAATAAGCTTTTGTTGTTTTGTGAATACAACTTTACAATTTTATCTTTAATTTTGTCTCACTTTTTGAATGCCGCTGAAGCACAGATTAAATAATGTTACGTCGTAAGCAGAACTAATTTGGCTACGGCGTTTTTCGGCGGTTTCGCCGATTTCCGCCCGGATCATGTATTTCTGTGACCTACAAAGACTAGCTTTATGACAATGTGCAATTTACTCTTAATATCATATTAAAGAAAAACATACTTGAATTCATTCAATTATTAATGTGAATTATCATGACATTTTAAGATATCAAGTAGTGAAATACCTACATTCATATATGCTCGTAACTAGTTCTAATGATTTCTCCTAAAAAAATGACGTCCAAAGTATTTAAAAAATTATCGTTATTTTTCCAAAATACTTAATGCATTTATTCACTCATCAAATTCTTTAATTCCATCCACGTTTGTCCTTCAATCATGCTTGCACGATTGGAAGTGGCTTAGAAGTCAATAAATGTTGTGGAATAGGATAATGTAGAACAGAATACTTTTTTATAACTATTACATACTCTAAGATTACATATTACGAGTATGTATGTAATTACCATGTAATCATACGTATGTAATTGTTCCGCGTGGAGCTCAGAAAACGACATCGATCCGAAAAAGTCATAGCCCATGTACACAATGCATGTGTACATAATTCGGTGCATTAAGGTTACCCATTAGCAGAACGGACGTCAACTGTTAGCTTCAGCTTATGCGAAGTCATGCCCGTTATCATCAAGTATTTGAGAAACTCAACTGCGTAGGCAGTACTGTTGTGTAATAGCTAGCTATTACATTGTCTATCGATGAATAAATCTTTGACCCACCGTATATCACGTCTGTTCTAAAAAATGTACAAAAGTAAAGCTCTGCCCTCTAACATAATATGACACTGGATGGCAATATTTACCCGAAAATTGAAAATGTCATCTATGTCTGTTTCCCATAGACCCTCTCCGATTTGTAGCAGCTTTCTTGCATAGGCAACAGAACTCTTTGTCATTATAAAGTTTACACGTCCCATATAATTATTCCGTGGAACATAGTGGTGACACCTTGGATAATCGTCCATTTCATCTGCCGGTATACGTCTCTTAGTAATTGGCAGTGTCCACCTGAAGTTACCTGCAAGCAATACGATAACACTGCCCATCGGAGCCTGGTTGCTGCGGATGTTCTGCAGGCTTCACCTTAAGGACTATACCGCGCGTTTGTGACACTTCGTGCACTCATGTAAGAGAGCATCGCGGTCGCTACTCTTGCTGATGCACTTAGACATTTTTCACTTTGTATGTATTCTTAGAATGTATGATATCATCCTAAATTTCACCAAAGTCTTATCAGCCATTTTCGTATGAAGAATCACGCTTCAACTATATCCTGTCTCACTCATCAGCTAATGAACTATCTGTATCCGTTGCTCCGTTACTGAGTGAAAGAAGGACAAACTAACAAACCAACAAACGCTTTAACTTTTCTATACTACATAGAAATAAAAAGTCTCTGTCTATAATATCGAAATAGGGGGGAGAGGGGGGGGGGGGTATTTGCGTGCTATTAATACAAAAAAACCTTTTTTTAATTTATTTTTTACATCGAAAAAGTAATAAATTAAATGGCCTTTAGTTGTTATCTTAAATCTAAACAACGCCATTTTAATACAGGCGAAGCCGGGCGCTATAATATTTAATTGTAATATTAATAGGGAAGTAGTGATACTAGAATTTTACATTTTTAGAATTATATGAATATTTTGAACTTAATAGGCATTATTGTCCTTCACTAGATGGCAGTTCTTGAGTGGCAGCCTGGTAATAAATTTATCTCGACATTGTCTTATACCAATAATCAAAAAAAATATATCTAAAAACAATAGACATCTCTGTACAACATAAAACAAAATGTGTATTTTAACGTTAAGATGTAAACCAATGATTTAAATTTTTTTTTTAAAAACGGATTTTCTCCTGTATCGTGGAGGCAGTTTACAAACACAAATTTCACAAGGACAAACATCCAGACCCGGAACAATTATTTGTAGGCCATACAAATACTTGTTCCGTGCGGGGTTCGAACCCGCGCCCCCCAGCGCAGCAACTCATTGCTAAGACACTGCGCCACGGAGCCGTCAAATGTATGTAAATTACACATAAACTCAACTAATTATTTGTCGGTTCTTCGAGCTATATGGCCGGCCCACTGCCACTTCAGCTTACTAATCCGTTGGGCTATGTCGGTTACTCTGGTTGTACTGCGGATATTCTCGTTTTTAAGTCTATCATGCAGAGAAACGCCGTGCATAGCCCTCTCCATAGTTCGCTGACCGACTTTGAGCCTCCTCATACGGCCAGCAGTGAAGGACCACGTCTCAGATCCATAGGTCATCACTGGCAACACGCACTGGTTGTACAATCTGTTTTTGAGGTTTTGAGGTATGTCTGACGAGAAGATTTATCGTAATCTACCGAACGCTCCCCAGCCACGTTCAATCCGTCGATTGACCTCTCGGTCAAAGTTGAACTTACCTAGTCGGACTCTTTGTCCCAGGTAAACATTCTCGTCAACAACTTCGAGCTTAGTGCTCCCAACATCTACCTAGGTGTGACATGGACGTTAAACATGATTTTTATTTTGTCCATGTTCATCTTAAGACCTATCCGTTGGGAGATACTATTAAGGTTATTGAGTATAGTGCTTAGGTCCTCCAGCGTTTCTACCATGAGAACTATATCGTCGGCAAATTGAAGGTGAGTGATGTACTGGCCATTGACGTTAATACCGTATCCTTTCCAGTCCAGTAACTTGAAAACGTTTTCCAATGCAGCGGTGAAGAGTTTTTTGCCAGTATGCTGTTGAATCTGTTGAAGACTGTAGCTTCATTTCCCGTCTAACAGCCATGAGATCGGAGAGTTTTTGTGTTCTTCTGCGGCGGGTCTTGCAAAATTTAGCTCTGACCGCATGGACAGTTTCCACGAGCTTGTCATTCATTTCATCCACTGCATTGCAATCTCCTAGGCACTGAAAACGGTTTTGTAACTCGAGCTGAAAGATTTCGGGATTTTGGATTAGACCACGGGGGGGGGGGGGGGGGACGGAGCGTTGGCTTCATTAGACGACACCTCTCCAACTTAACGTTTAAGTTCAGTGTGCCTCTAATCATTCGGTGATCGCTACCAGTTTTCACCCTCGCGATCACTGAGACATCACTGAACAGTTGCCGTCTAGTCGTCATAATAAAGTCAATCTCATTTTTTGTCGATCTTTAGGAGCTCGACGAGGTCCACTTCCTGTGGGGCCGCTTCTGGAAGAAAGAGTTCATCATAAAGAGTCCCTCTTTACACATAAACTCACTTACATAATATACTTATATTTTCACCTTTCCACGACTTTGCGTATATTTTTGAGGTTTACCTTGTCAAACTGACGAGCTTGCGTCATGTCTAGAGCGAGAAGGGAAGTTGTCTCTACAAACCTCTCAGCATGGCTAATCGAGTAAGAGAAGATTGATTTGGGTGAAAAATTGTTACCTACAGAATTCGTGTTAACTTTCAGTTTGTAAAACCTTTAGTCCTTTTTGTAGATATCCTCAACTCTGAAGTTGTTGTTTTAAATTATATTTATTTTTGGACATATCACTGCTTGTGTTATGATAATAATTGAAATATTGCTACCGTTACACATATAGAGTTATCTCGTCACTAATAATTAACAACACCACTCCGTTGTGTTGCGTAAACGTGGCGTATATTAAGGTAAAGAGAATGCTTTTATATTTACGTATATTAACTTTCTGTATGTGAACGTTAGTCTAACTTTTACCTTCCTTGTTATAGCTAAAATAAACAACAATATATAAAAGGAATGTAGAAAAGAAAACAGACTTGAGTCTAAAATGTTATGTATTGGTTACAAGCTTTTCAGTCATTATTCATTACAGTTTAATTGACAATGAAATTACTTCTAACAAATAATACGCAGAAATACTTACTAAGTTTATGTAATTAAATATCGACAAAATATAAAAATGAGTAGACATTCTGTATATCATAAAATTATTTTATAAAAGCCTTCTTGATAAAAGCAATCTCTTTTTGTTTCAGCAATCCAAGAAATAGCAAAGGAACTCAACTCATCTATAAAGTTGTTCAAGTTTACGCGTCGCCCATTGAATCTGTCGAGCGATTCTGTAAAAGTGTCAGAGAGCTCCGACGATTTTACAGCCCTTTTGGAAAACACTTCGCCGGCTACATGGAGCCTGTCCGATGGCGAAGGTTTTAACGGAAAGCTGTTGTACATCTATACGTCTGGAACAACTGGGCTTCCGAAAGCAGCTGTAATTTCACCATCAAGGTACTTTTGTAATTATTAGTCTAGATGATTGTATTATTAATGAAGATTAATATCACGTGTATTTATTACCAGGGTGTCCCACTAACAAGTCATTGATCTCATATGTTTAAATCTTAAATTTATTTGAAAAACTATTTATTTTATGTGGTACACTCGGAAAGGTTAGCGAAGCTAAAATAAAAGTTTCACGGCAACAGTTTTATTATTAAATAAAATTATTAAATCAACATGTGTGCAGTTTCATGCGTCTGAACTAACGTTTACAATACTTTCCACCCCGCCTCAGACATCTCCACTATGACCTGCTCGAACGCTGTCAGTGCATCTTTCGGCAATGGAAACTGTATCCCTATCAGCTGATTTTTAATTTTAGGAAATAAGTGTTCCGTCCAGAATATCGTTTTGAGCATTGTGCGTGCAGGCGCGTTGTAATGAATGGCCCACAGGGTAATTAAAAACTGACCGCAGTACGGAAGCTTGTAATCGTCAGTCAGAAATCTTATACCGTATAAAATAATTACTGGCCGGCACCTACGCAATACGGAATCTTGCAATAGTAAGCTAATAATCTACAATTGCAGTTCTTATGTATTGTGCCGTTTAAAAAAATACAATGATAGTTACCTGATAGGCACCTATTTCTGTGGTATTAAGTAAGTAAGTGATCGAAAATTAAGCATTTAAAACCTTTTTTATTTAATTAAGCATTTTTTGTACCCTTTTGTATATTTAGCTATTTTTATAAGAACCATTATTGTTTCTACTCTTGAAATAGACAATATATACAATATAGGTTTGGCTATTAGAACTTGATTTGTATTCTACATTAATTAAATATGAAAAAAAGTCCGAGGCACTTTATTCCGATGTATTTAGTTCCTAATGCGAGTATACAAAATGCGAAGGAAAAAGGTTTGGAAGAATAATACATGTTGTTCATTATAGTACAACCAAAACTACTATAATTTAAAAAAATTGAATAATAATCCCCGTGGATATAGACCTGACAAGTTTATTTTATTTTTAATACTGCAATAAATTAATTGACAAGGTTTTGTTGAATCATTTTGATTTTTTCTCAAACCCCCTACATACAGCGAGAGCAAATTTTCCAGAAGTATTATCTTTCCACTATTATGTAAGTATGTGAAAATTTGTGGTGATAGATGATTTAATGGCGTAATAAGCATCCATCCTCATAACCAATTTAAATATTTCACACTTATGAAATAAAATCCTATTATTAACCTAATATACATAGCTACGATAGGTAGTTCTCTCTAAAGCAAGATATAGTTTAAAATTATATTTATTAAATTAATGTACTTGAGAATTAATAAATGTTTACAACTACGTACCTAAGTTTGTGAAGTTATTACAAAGGAAATAGAACCTACGCGTTATTCAAACTAAAAGAAAGTGCACATAGCAAGCTGCGTAAAATTGTCTTATACGCGGTAAAGTCATGCTGCAGCTATGTTAATATAGTTGTAGCACGAATGGGTCGGCTCGCCCGGGGAAGGACCACCCTGTCACAGAAAACCAGCGTGAAATAGCAGCTTAATGCTGCTGTGTTTCGTGTGGTGAGTGTAGAGAACCGGATACCCTTTTTATTGGAAAATAGGCATTCCATCTTCGTCCTCACGGGTGACAACGCATCTGCATTTTAATTCGCAAACGAAGATAGATGTAGATGTCTATGGGCCACAGCAACCACTTACCATCAGGTGGACTGTGTGCTCGTTTATCACTCTTATGCTGTAAAAAAAATTTGCATGTGTATATGCCGTGGAATAAGGTGCTCATAGAACCTTATCCCGACCTACCATACTACATCGGAATAGCGTTATATACCAGAAAATTTCGTTTCCTAATTTTAAGTATTAACAGAAATGCAAGATTTTTACATAATTTATATAATACAGATTAATACTTAACTACAAAATCTTCGTAAATATAATGTAATACTTACTAAAATTACATCGCATTGTGTATGAACTCAAATTTTTCTTCTTAGCTTTCCCATACAATGAATTAATAAAAATAAAAAGATCAACTTTGAAATATGTAACATACTTTAAAATAATAAATAGATCACCTTTGACATGTTATTAATGAATGAAACGCAAAATTATACCTCGGATATAGATTTTAATATTCATTGTCTTTTTAATTTGTCGAACCCAAAGCGGGAAGGACCTAATCATAAAAGCAACCATGTAAATTAAAAAAGAAATCAAGTATCTGAAATCGCTATTACGCAGTATACATCGGAATAAGGAGCCGGCCAAAATATTTGGCTCCTAATGCCGCAGTTTTTTAAAAACGTATTTTCACCATGATTTATTCAGAAAAACATATGTTAAGTGTTTTCGATTAAAAATATAATCTTTGAAATAACTTCACTCATACTCATACACACACGACACAAAAATAATCAAACAATCACTATTAAAAAAACATGGTACGGTCGTGCACAAGGTCCAAAATATATGACGCGTGGGTTCGGACCAGATGTTAACGCAAAACTATCCAATTATTTTAAAACTTCTTTTGATGATATGACTTTAACGTTATATTATCAATTGAATAAGAGCTCTTGCAGTAAAAAAAGAGCTTGAAAATCGCTGGTAAACACAGTTTTTCTAAATACCTCGGACTATGGTGCTAATTTTAGAACCCCTTGGAATAAGGTTACCTTAGTTCTCGAAATATATTTTTTATATTTCTTAGACATTCCTCGTAATGTTTTTAGTGCTGATTCTTAAATTGCAATTAATAATTGATTCATTAATGCATTAGTGGCAGTGGTAATCTAATTAAGTTTGCTCGTATTACTCTACCTAATACGTATTTTGAAGTGAGCGCTTATCTCTAAAGCTACCACGGCTTCAATTACTAATAGTGTTTATTTTAATTTTCATTCTAGAATGGTGTTCATGGCTTCTGGAGTTCACTATTTAGGAGGATTATCATCGAAGGATATAATCTATTGTCCTATGCCATTGTATCACTCAGCTGGTGGATGTATCAGTATTGGGCAGGCTCTTATCTTCGGCTGCACCGTAGCTCTCAGGACCAAGTTTTCAGCATCCGCCTATTTCCCTGACTGTATCAAGTACAATGCTACGGTTAGTAATCACAAACAGGAAACTATTAAAATAATTTAAATCATTCATTGTTATAAAAAAAAAAACTATTCTTTTATTTGTATAAAAATTTTAGCAACCAATCATATACCAAGTTTTTATACGTGGTAGAGTCATGCTGCAGCTATATTATGGTTGTAGCAGAAATGTGTCGGCTCGAACTGGGAAGGACCGCACTTGCAAGGAATACCAGCGTAAATTAGCAGCTTAATTCTAATGTGTTTCGTATGATGAGTGTAGAGAACCGGAGACCATATCATTGGAAACGAGGCATTCCACTTTAGTACTTAGGAATAACAACGCATCTGCATTTTAATTCTTAATCGAGGATAGATATAAATGTCTACTCACATCACATCATCATCCACTTACCATAAAGTGGTCTATGAGCTCGTTTGTCAACCTTATTATATAAAAAAAAGGTGAAAGTAAATAACTGGCTCGAAGTCATGAAACATTATTGTAATCAAGTTTTAATTTGAAATTGTCATAATCAAGTTTTATATTAACTACTAGATATTATAACTGTTTGATCTCCTCACACACACACACACACAAACAAGCGCGCGAGTGCGCGCGCGTGCGCTCGCATGAATGCACGCACGCACGCAAGCACACACCACACGAAATGACCCTTTAATGGGGCAGGGGTGCAAAGAATCTCCGGGAGTAAAACCGGTGACGAGGTTCGTCATCCGACACGTTCTGCCTCTCGGAGGAGCGGAAAGTGGACTGCGGAAGCTAGCCTGGCTACGCTGAATATATGTGAAGCAATGAACGATAAGATAGATGAAGTACGATAGAGGAATAGATTTGTTATGTGTAAATAAGACGAAACGGAAAGGAAAGAATGCTACTGCACATGGCATGTATACTGCTCACTGATCTGGTGTAGACAAGACCGCGCGGGCATGTCAAGGAGTAGGTATCATCCTTTCAGAAAAAAGGGTCAATGTGTGATAGAGTATGAATGTGTAAGCCCGAGGCTGCTATGGATACAAATGAAAGTAGGCTTAAAGATGTTGGTTGTTCTAGGGTTGTACGCTCCAGAAATATCTAAACAAACTTATACCCAAGAGCAGTTTTGGGAGATGGTAAGGATGGTGTTAATATTACGTAAGGGAAATGAAAATATTGTTATGTTAGAAGATTTTAATGGAAGGGTTGGGGTGAAGAGGTCTGGTTATGAAAGGATATTAGGAATGTTTTGTGATGAAAGTATAAACGAGAATGGTGAAAGCCTACTTGCCGTATGTGTGGAAAAGAATATTTTTATGACGAACACTTTCTTTTGTCCTAAGAAGATTCACATGTATACATGGAATAATAGAAGGTGAAAATAGAAGCATGATAGATTTCATAATTATGGATGAAAGAATACGCAACGCGTAGATACAAGGGTTTACCGGGGTCCAACGTAGTAACGAATTATTACCTGGTCTTATGTCGAATGAATGGTCTATTCAGATGTTGGCGGCATTGGACATCTGTTTCATTTTGGTGGTATGAATTGAAAGAAAAAGAGCAGTCTTTAGACATGTAAATAAAGGTGTAGAATATGTAGTTGTAAGGAAAAAGCAAGGAAGAACAGATAATAATGATAGAAGAGTACGTGATAACTTCCTGGCAAATATTAAAATATTCTGCAAACTCGTAAGAACTTCCAGGGGAAATTCAAAAACAAGCCTAGAGAGAATGCTATAAGAAAGGAGAATGGCTGTATTCGTAATGACGAAGTTTCGAGTTTAAAGAGATGGAAAGTATACTTTGAAAGCGTCTTTAAAAACTCCGAAAGAAGTGGAAAGAGTTAGGGAGATAAGTGTAGATAACATAAAATAATGAAAGCATGAAAGCAGGTAAGGCAGCCGGGTATGATAGAGTATCACTCGAAATGTTAAAGGCTGGAGAGGGAGTGGCTTAATTTATGTTAGGTACTGACGCGGGTACCGGAAGATTGGAAGCCGTTATAGTCCCAATATAAAAGGGTAAGGGTCACAGCAGGACTGTAAAAACTACCGTGGTATCAGCCTTCTTAGCATTGTGGAAATAATGTATGACACTCATTTGGGTTGAGCGCTAGGTTGATACAGGCATTAAAGTCTCTTTATAGGGACTCTAGTGCTTGCGTCGGAATCAACGGGGCCTACTCGGACTATTTCGACATCCATAAAGGTGTCAGACAGGGCTGTGTGGCTTCCCCGTGGCTGTTCAACCTATTTATGGACAGTTGTTTGGGAACTTTGTAAGTTGAAGAATGTGAGTTAATAATGGGTATTTTAACCGTCAAATGCCTTTTGTACGCCGATGTAGTCATATCTGCGTCGTCGGAGGCCGAGTTGCACGTGATGGTAATTGAACAGATCATTAAAAGAAGAAAGGGACATGAAAGAGACCGCAAGTAAGATAAAAGTGATGGTTTTTGAGAGAGAATAAAGTAAAAGAATATGTGAAGTAAGAATAGAAGGGTAATTGGTTGAGCAAGTAGATGAGTTTGTGTATATGATGAGAATATAGAACGACATATGAACTCAGGACATAGAGTTAATGGGGCGCTACACTCTTATTGTGGGAAGTCAGAAAGTGTCAAAAAAGGCACGTATGGCAATTCACAATGCTGTGAATGCTAGTCCCTACCTTAATGTATGGTAGTGAAAGTTGGGTGTGGCAGAAGAATCACTTGAGTAGAAAATGCTGTAGAAATGCGGTCATTAAGGAGTATGTTAGGGTTGAATCTGAATGACAAGATGGCGTTGTGAGTAGAATTAAGAATGGAATAGTTCGGTGGTTTGGTCATGTAAAAAGAATGAACGAGGAAAGAGTTACAAAGCAAATCTACATTGCAGAAGTGGACGGCAAATTTGGGAACGAAAGTTTATCGACCAAATTGGTGATATATTGAAGATAGGCCAGATTAAGAGTATCCTTACCCGACGAACATGTATGCGTAGGTATATGGATGTAAGGGAGGCAAGAGAGGTGTGTCAGGATCGGGCCAAATGGAAGTCCATAGTCGCTAGCCTACCCCTCTAGGTGTCAGGCGTGAGTGTTTATGTATGTATGTACATTCACGTATTTAACTTGTAATTTATAAAATCATGTTTTATATGTAGATTTATACGATTCAAGATCAAAATGTTCAGTCAAACTATTAATTATTTTAGGCTGCTCACTACATTGGAGAGATGTGTCGCTACATACTGGCAACACCACCAAAACCTACCGACAGGCAACACAAAGTACGCACAGTATATGGCAATGGAATGAGACCTACCGTAAGTGAAGATATAATATTAATTTCTTATTAACATTATGGTCATATATATAGTGTATTATCTATGGTCATACCGTGTAGTGGCGGTGTAAGAATGTGTACTACCCCATATTATACCAAGGGTGTCGTAAGAGGCGACAGAGCGAAACAAATCAGGAAATGGGCAGCAGTTTCTTCCTCATAACTACTAAAAATAAAAAAATTACGGTTGCCAATCCGCTTGCCAAGCGTGGCAACTGTGGCAAATATCCCCCTATGAGGCAATCTGTGGGGGAGGCCTATGTTCAACAGTGAACTTTGATAAGCTGTAACGGTAACGGCATTATGGTCATATCGGTGATTCTTCATTGGCAGCCTCGTACTATCAAATGCAGTGTCTAGCGCATCCTGATGAAACATGCAGGGAGCTGTTGGATTCAGGTGGCACGGGACCCTGCTTTGTGTAAATCTATGGGGCGGCCTATGTTCAGTAGTAAACATTTGATGGGTTATTAATGACGATTATCACCAAAATAAAATAACACAAATCTATATCTTATACATAACATTGTATAATAACTACTGAACTACTGAAGACGTGGCTTTGGGTGTCTGATGGTGTTATAAATAGTTATAAATTGTAAATTTAATAGTAATACTTTACGTTTCATTTTGTCATTTTCTATAGACTTCAAATAGGAGACGGTGCTCAATTCGACTGTATGTTCTTTTTTTATATGTGTTACCTCATAACTTTTTTCTGGTTGAACCGATTTCGATGATAATTTTTTTATTTGAAAGCTGATGCTTCTTATGTGGTCCCACATAAATTTGATCAAGGTCTGACCGATAGTTTTTGTATTATCCTTAATAAGTCGGTTGTACAAAATATTTAATTTTAAATTATTATTTGCTTTTTTCCCCACGTTCTTTCTGATTTATTTTATTTCCTGTTTGTTCTTTATTCGAGAATCCTTTTTTATAGAACATACATCGTTTAATAGTTATTTTTAGATTGCTCGTAAATCTTGATAGTAGTGTTGACAGAATAACAGCGCTGCAACAATACTGCTGCAGTTTAATGCTGAGTCGGTGAACTTTTCGTTGCTACAATCCGTTTATATTTTATTATTTAATTTATTTAGTATACTTCATGTCTGCGTATTATACTGTTGCAGCAAATTAAGTTTCCTTTTCTTTCTTTCCTTCTTATCATTAGTAAGTAATTCGAAATCATAGAAAATATGAATTTGTTACTAGATTTTTTCGCAGACGTAAATTCATTAATAGACCGGCAATTCAGAACGCTGCGCCCGCGCCCGCGCTGCGCTTGTTATGCGGGTAGCTGGCACAGTAAATATGCCATGCAAGAACATGGCAGTTGTATTTTCATTTACGGCAGTTACTGTTTTTAGAAAAATGCGAAATAAAGTTACATACTTAAGCCGTCGTACCTCTGGGGCTAAGCGTTCGCTGTAAATTTCACATTACTGGAGTAACTTCGGTTCGATCCCCGCCGGTACCAATGAAATTGTTAATTACAATTTTAAGTGCTGATGCATGTGCTCGGCGGTGAAGGAAATCATCGTGAGGAAATCTGCGTGTCTGAGAAATATGAAGAAAAAATTATTTCGAAGACGTGTTAAACCATAAAACCCTCTCAGAAATGAGAAAAGGCCTGTGCCCAGCAGTGGGACGTATATATGCTGTAACTTTACATACTTATCTGAAATAAACTTCAAATCAAGTTGACAAAACATTAAATGAAATCAGTTTTTCGAAATCAGATTGTCTAAAACAACGTTCGCGGTTAACAAAACAAAGAACTAGCCTTCACGCCCGCTCGCAGTATACGAATGAAGTTACGGAGAATTGACCGTACCTTAGTGCACAATGTAGTAGTACCGTAGTGCCCGTCTCTAGTAGTATAAGTACATAGAAGTTTTTGTAAGTTATAAAGTGTTCAATTTAAGCGATAAATAACGTAACTAAAATCCTTTAAAATATTTTAGGTTTGGACAGACTTTGTGAAGAGATTTGGAATAAAGAAGGTCGCCGAATTTTATGGAGCCACAGAAGGAAACGCAAACATAGGTAGGTAACAAATGCATAATATATGATTGTTTTTTTTTTTTGCGACAAGATTAATTTTTGATAATCTAATGATCAAAATTATTGCTTGAAATTTATTGTAATTATTACCACCATATCCATACCTCAAACCAAGAAAGAAATACGAAGCGCTGCGTAAATTTTATGTGACGCAAAAACAAGCCAAAACCATTCTCAACTTATTATTAGACTCACGTACACATATTATGCATCTAAAATAATTTACTACCAACGACATGGATTAAGGTGCATATGTATGTGTCCAGCAGTGAACTTTTACTCGCTGATAAAGAAAGAAGAGTGCGGGAGAGCATGTCAAGAAGTTGATCATTGTTTCGGCATTACTCAAAATGCACATAAGCACTCCGTTTATCTTTCTGTCGGTCTGGGCTCTATACCTATAAATTAAAGTCTTGAAAAAGAAAGGCTAAAATGTTAATTAATCTTGTATGTAATTTATCATCAGTCTGCAGCAGTCCACGTAATATAATGCCGATATGCCTCTCACAAGGCGCGCCTCTTAGCCCGGTATTTAGCTTCACGCATCCAGTCACTCCATCTGTTGCATCTCCATTAGTTGGAGTCCCAAATTAATATAATAGCATCTTTGAGTTATATGTACTACGTACTAGAGAAGCCATTCCAAACAAAAATTGTGTCCTACTCTATGTCTTCGCGCATGCGCGAATACTTTAATTTGAAATAAAATAAGATATTAATAAAAAATAAATATAAGAATTTAATATAAAATATCTTAATTTAATCTAAACAAACATATTTCTAAATAAAATGTAATAATAATTATCTTATGGAATTCACAAATCTTCAATTTACGCAATATTTAATGTGTGCGGATTGCAGTACAGTTCAGTTGAACATAGTCAATGTTCGCAATGGCTTCTCTAGTACGTAGTACATATAATTCAATGAATAGCATAAAGTTGACGTCTCTGTGGCGCAGTGACTTAGCAATGAGTTATTATGGCGCTAACGGCCTCGGATCCGAACTCAGCACGGAACAAATATTTGTATGGTTTAAAAATAATTGATTCGCGTCTGAATGGTTTCCTTGTGCTATTTATGTATGTAAACTGCCTCCACGATACATAAGAAAATCCTAGTATAGGGGTAAAGTAAAAAATATAGTTCACAATAATCGTCCTATAATAATATAAGTTTCATAAATATATTGATTTGAACTGTTTACTGATTATATTCTGTAGGTGGTGGTTGTCTACGCGGAGTGACTGCGACACAAAAAACAAATCAACATGCAATGCTTGTGCCTGTTGATTTGTTGTGAAAGTCATTTTCGTAATATTAACCAATCTATTTGTTTCGTTTATTACAGTAAACATTGATAACAAGACCGGAGCGATAGGTTTTATTTCGAGAATCATCCCTGCAGTATATCCTATTGCTATTATAAAAGTGGATGAAAACACTGGGGAACCTATAAGGGACTCTCGAGGATTGTGCCAGGTACTTACTTATTTTTTAAATGTTCTTCTACATCAACCCGTATCAGTTCACTGCTGGATATGGGCCTCGCAGGAAGGATGTACCATATTTGCCACGTTCGGCAGGTAGAGCAGCAGTCGTAACGTACAGTATGTAGGAGTTGACGTTAATCGCTTTGTTTGTCATGTGAATCCACCTGGGATTGATTGGTGTAAGAGATATCGTACCTTTAGCGCTGCCTCCCGTCGCCGCTCTAGCTATTTTGCGTCTGGTAAACCTGTGAGATGTTTATTCTGCTGGTTATCTATCGGAGGCCACAACTACACACATGGGATGAGATTGATAACTAAAACTTATTCATAGTTATATTATCTAAGTATTAATAATTATAACAAAATGGTTTTTTGATAACATTAGAACGATAAACGAGCTATCAGTCCATTTGATGTAAGGGGCCATTCTAGTCTGTAGTCACCTCTAGTGTCTAAGTCCATCCATCCATCCATTACAGCCCACAAAAGTTCACTACACCACAACATAGGCATAGGCCTCCCCCCTAGAAGTGTGATGCTTATGAGATGTCAATGAGGCAATCTCATAAGAATCATAATTGGTGTAATTGCCACCTTTGGCAGGCGAGTACGCAGTCGCAAAAATACAAAAAAAACATTACATATTTTGAATTGTTATCAGGAAGATGCCTTTGTCCATTTCGGTTTCATTTAATTCTGTCACCTCACACGACACCTACAGGGACGATTGGCGATGGGTAGTTGGCTTCTGTTACGTCGCGATACAATGCAGAATATAATGAAATATTATTTGTGGGTTATATCTTAGCGGCATACATCAGCTTGGGATCTTAGCTTACATAAACCATATATTTATTTGAATACCTCGTTGGTCTAGTGTGATATAGCAGCGTAACGCGATTGCTGAACATGCGGTCATGGGTTCAAACCGAGGCGAGCCAAAAATTAGTTATTGAGTTTTTCTCTTAAGAAATTCTCTTTAGCACCCGGAATCAGAAGGTAGGCCGTGTTTCACCCTAGTGTTTTAAAAATCACATAAAGCCGTTGGTCCTGCGCCTGATCTCTCTCCGGTCGTATTGGATTACCGTTCCATCGGACTATGACAGTGAGGGAACGGAGAGTGCAGTGAATGCATATTCTAATAAAAGTTGATTAAAACAAGATATTTCATTACTTAGGTGGCGAAACCAAATGAACCTGGAGTTTTCATAGGAAAAATCAAACCAAACAATCCTTCTAGAGCATTTCTTGGATACGTCGACAAACAAGCTTCTGAAAAGAAAATTGTCAGAGATGTTTTTCAACACGGAGACTCTGCCTTTATATCAGGTTTGTTATAAATATATATTATAAATATTAATATTTATATCATTCCCGACATTTAATTCGATCCTCACCGCCAACAATAAAAATTTTAGATACAATTTTAAGTGTTAATTAACCGAAACGTGAGGAAACCTGCATGACAGAAATTATCAATATTTGAAAAAACATGAGACAGACACAGTTTTATGAAAAGCACGGCAGTTTTATGCCGGTATTTCAAAGTGGTATTCTCTGCGATGCGTGCTCCTTCCCTACTAGAGCGCACATATTCGTGCTGCAGCATGGCTCAGCCTGTACCACGTATAATTGCCACGATTGATAGTGTCACGAATACTTTTACTCCGCCACCATAATATGGCAAACGCTATATTTAGTTAAGTTCTCACTTTACTGCTAGGTATGATGTGTTAAACCAAAAGACTATAGATATACGTAATATATCCTGGTAGAGCCATGCTGCAGCTATATTACCGGTATAGTTGTAGCATGAATGGGTCGGCTCGACCGGGGAAGGGCAACGCTCTCACAGAATACCAGCGTAAAATAGCAGCTTAACGCTGCTGTGTTTCGCATGGTGAGTGTAGAGAACCGGAGACCCCTTTTTACTGGATATGAGGCATTCCATCTTATTAGTGCTCACGGGTGACAACGCATCTGTATCTTGATACGTAATCGAAGATAGATGTAGATGTCTATGGGTCACAGCAACCATTTACCATCAGGTGTACTGTGTGCTCGTTTGTCACCCTTATTCTATAAAAAAATTCGTATATTCCGTAGTAAGCGGCAAGATAACCGGTAAAAAAAATATATACTTATCAAATTCTATTTATAGGAGTAGTAAATATTTGTTACGTGATAAGAAATTGTCCATTATTTAACCTTTAATTTTGCAGGAGATATTCTCATAGCGGATGAATTAGGCTACCTGTACTTCCGGGATCGAACGGGCGACACGTTCCGGTGGCGCGGCGAGAACGTCAGCACCACGGAGGTCGAAGCTGCTATCTCTAGAGTTACCGATCAACGGGACGCCGTTGTATATGGTGTAGAGGTAAAATATTTCTTGTTGTTTTTATAAGTACTTACGACTGACCCAACCACAATACCAAGGGTCATATTGAAGAAAAAAAGGACTTACTACAATTTAAAACAATCATATCAACAGAAAGTACAAAAAAAGGATATTTAATAGTTAAGCACTAATGCCATGCTCATTATTTTTTTAGAAGAATTTATTAATATGTGTTTAGGTTTTAGATAAATTTATTTATTTTATTCTATGGCTTATAACTTAATTCGACTATGTATATTAATAATTATATATTTGAGCTATAAACAATACTGTGATCGGCCCTTATATTTGTACCCTGCCTACCTCGTTCTTTCCGTGCCCTTTACCTTTCGTTATCCTTTGAAAGAGAAAAAGTAATACCCTGTATATTATGACCTCTGCTGGGCATATTTCTGAGAGGGATTTGCCGCAGGAACAGTCTATCTTTATTCTCCATGTTCGGTGCACGAGTTTACGCCCCCCCCCCCCTTCCCCTCTCCACCTCAATTCCTCTCAGACGTGCATTTCCGATTCATCGTGTTTTCCTTCACCTAAATCATTATTTAAAATTCTAATTAACAATTTCAATGGTGCCTACAGTTATTGAACTCGGTTTGCTTGCATACTACGAAATTAATTAAGCACCTAAACTACCACAGCTCATTCTATAAACCTATAATTAATATTAGATTTTTTTATTAGATTCCAAACTCGGAAGGTCGCGCAGGCATGTGTGGCATAGTAGATACGGACAATAACCTAGACCTAGATAAACTAGTTAAGGATATGTCAAGGGATCTACCTAAATATGCCCGACCCGTATTCCTTAGAGTAATGAGCAGCCTCGATATGACTGGTAAGTACATGGTATTATTTATCTTTATATACAAAAATTACATGTAACATTTGTTTGTCCGCCATGAACTCGTAAACTACAGAACTGATTACAATGAAATTTTGCACACTGTGCAGTTTGGTCCAACCTGAGAGATTAAGGATTTTTATAGGACAAAGTCGGAGAGGGCAGTATGACGTCTGCCTGGCCAGGAAGTATAATTATAAAGAGAACATTATTAACTTTCATAACCTTGTTGTAGTGGCGGTATAGAATACCTATCCACTAATCCATATCGTCCCTCGGGTGTCGTAAGGAAAACCAAAAACGGCAGCAGCGTCTTCTTAATAACAGCTAGAAAGTAAGAAACTGCAGTTGCCAATCCGTCAGACAATTATGATAAAAAAATGCTTTCTGAGACAAGTTATGGATAGGCGAGGGAGGTTTAGCAGTGGACTCTGATAAACTCTATTAAATGCATAAATAATGAATTAACTTACATGTTTAAAAATCTCAATGTAATTGCGGCGTAAAAATTATCTGTCACCCTATTTCGTCCCGTGGTTGTCGTAAGAAGCGATTATGAGAAATGTCAGTAGGATCTCAAGGCTTCTGATAGCTTTTTTTTATCGACCGGGGAAGGACCACGCTCTCACAGAATACCAGCGTAAAATAGCAGCTTAATGCTGCTGTGTTTCGTTTGGTGAGTGTAGAGAACCGGAGACCCTTTTTACTGGAAAAGAGGCATTCCATCTTAGTCCTCACGGCTGACAATGCATCTACATTTTATTGGCAAACAAGGATAGATGTAGATGTCTACGGGTCACAGCAACCACTTACCATAAGATGGACTGCGTGGTCGCTTGTCACTCTTATCCAATAAAAAAAAAGCGACGGGTGCAACGTCCAAGGTGCGAGACATAATATATTGTACGCTGTAGCGTGTGCAGTGAGTGTTAGAAGAAGAAAATTTTGTAATAATAAGCCTCAACTATGGTCCAACATTGGTCTCGGTCGCTGTTTGAGTAAAAATATACTATATACCTATTATCGCATATTATTTTAGGTATTGTTGGTATTTTGCAAAGTTAAACAATTACTTGCAAAGTATTGTACGATGTTATCATAGATTAATGATAGGTCATCGCGCGCTCTGACTAGATACCGCGCTACTTGAAAGAAACAGCTCCGTCACTGCGGCAACTCAATATTCTAGTGTGTATAAGACAATTGCAAGGATGCTAGTGTGCGTGAAAAATTGTATATGCCAGCAGCTTAACTATTACCCGATTAACGGGAAAAATTATTTTATGCTATGGCTTAGTAGTTAAGTTCATAGTTATGAATGTAGACCAGAAATACTTAAAAACGAATAATTTATTATTAGCGAATGTATCAATATATTTGTGTATATTATGTATAGGTTTTTCTTCTGAATAAATGGCATATAAATGATAAGGCCTCATTTTTATCAGTTTAATTTTTATATTTAAAGGTCTGACTAATATTCACAAATTATTTAAAAAAATAGTTATTTTTATTATATGTTGTTATAGTAATAATAGCCAATACACATTCTGTGAAAATTTCAAGTATCTACATATTACGGTTCATAAAATACAGCCTGCTGACAGACAGACGGAACAATAGTGGAAACTTAAGTCCCGTTGACACTCTTTGGGCACGGAACCCTAAGAAACGGAAATAATGTTTTAATAATAAAAATAACAATTAATAAAACAACATAATATAAATATTAGGTCATTTGAGCAATACTACAAAAATAAACATTAAATAATATAGAATTAGGTTATATTATATTAAGTTAAATATATTATATTATAAAATATGTCTAGTAACAATAAATTCACATTTAAAAATCTCAGCCACGTGGGAACTTTATTTTTGTATACGCGGCAACACTGAATGGCGTCTTTCATATTTTGTAACTTATTTATGGCTCGTGTTATTTTATGTTGAAATTTCGAAATTGTATGATACTTACTGATAGTATATGATCCCAGTGTCTTTCTTATTTCTTGTAATATTATTTTTACACAGTTTCACTACGCAAACTGGTATTTTACTTCGGATTATGATCAAAATTTTATAAAATATTCGGTACGTTCACATCACATATCGCACACCCTATATAGTATATTATCTATGACATATCGCCTGCAACGCGACTGGCTCGGGTACGCCGATTTCGGCGTAGTATTTGTTGCCGCATTTTACAAGAGCGCCGGCGGTATCTAGTCTGAGTGCGCGAAGACCTATCATTAAGCTAAGGATGTTATGTTATTTTCTTTCCAATATGTAAAAGTATACTGATTATGTTGCAGGTACATTTAAATTGAAGAAAGTTGACTTGCAAAAGGAGGGCTTCGATCCAAAAAATATCAAAGACGACATCTACTACTTAGATCCGAAGTTGGAAAAATATATTCGCTTAGGGCCAGAGGAATATGACAAAATAATGTCAGGACAAATAAGACTGTGATTTTAATAATTAAGATGGTTTTACTAATTGACGTTTATTTTTTTCTTTTGAAAAATAGGCGTAAGTAAATCAGACAATTGGTGAATATAAGTTAAAGTAGTTAGTTTTGCTAAGTTTAAAGTTAAATCAATGAAAGACTTTTCGGCTAGTTTACTTAGTTCAATGAAATATTTATACAAAAGATATATTATATAATTTTATGAAGCTGTGGGACAAAATAATTATTATAAGAATAAACAATTATATTTTAATTCGTTTGTGTTTCAATTAAGAAATATATTAATATTTCAAAGAATATATGGATATATATATATATATATATATATATATATATATATATATATATATATAAATATAATTTTAAAATTATTAAATTACCGTCATTACCATAATTTTTGACTTCTTGTCAAATCCTAGTTGACAGATGATGAAAAGACGTAGTTGTTCAAGTTTTACTGATTTATTTTGTCTTTTGGTTTCTATTGAATTCTATAAATCTCACACAAAATCGCTATAAAAACTAAGAGTATGAGCGGGGTATAATTGACATATTTTTGGCAACTTTACCTAGCCTACAGTTTGCATTAAGGTGAAAGCTCCAGGATGGCCCGCGAAATTCAAATTTTCTTAGGTTTTTTGGACTTTGCAGGTCAGGGTCTGGTTGAATGTTTAACAAAATAAACTATATAAAACTATACTAACAAAATACACTATAAAATAGTAGTATTGATGATTATAATGATTAGAATTCTGTAAATACATACTCGTCACGGTCGCGAATCATATTTTATTAAACATACAACCTGACACTGACCTACAAATTGCAAAAAAACGTAAGAAAATTTGAATTTCGCTGGCCACCCTGGAGCTTTCACCTTAAATGAGTGTCCCCAGTTTTTTTTTCTGAATGTGTACGCTGTTGGCCCTGCGGCCTTGACAGCTTCATCTAATTAGGCTTGTAAGTGAGGACTTACGAACTATTACTATTACTTAGACTTATAACTAACGATTCTGCCGGCGGCTAGGCGGCGCGAAGCGCCGCTTCGCCGACTGCAGTCCCGAGGCACCCCGACCCCTGCTTTCGGAATGAGGCTCCTCGAGCTGGGGGGGGGGGGGGAGGCTCGATGCGATTCAAGGGCCCCTCAGAAGGAGGTACAAACCTCGGCTTGAATCACTATCGCAATTTTGTTTACGGGTTGCAAAATTAGAAACGCCCCGTATCACGGGTGTTAAACCTCGTGTGCGGGATGTGTCTGTGACGACGCATTCGCCGGCGAATGCGGTGTGCCCTAGTGTTCTGTACTAGAGTAGCGTCGAGTGTGTGAGTGTCCCTAGAGTGTCCCCTTTCGCTTTTTTTTTTTGGAGTTTATGGCCTGGTATCTAGACCTTTAGGCCAAGTCTTAAGTATTTTTATTCGGTTTATTGTAATTTCCCCACTCCTTCATAGTATACTGCTTCACAATATGTTGATGCGTCACATTGTGCAGTTCTTGGGAGATTTTGGCGGCAACTTGATCCAGCAGACAGCTGATAGTTGGCGATGGTATCTAAAGGTGCCTATGCAAACAAACAGCTTATCTTGAGAATCCATCACCATCAGAGCACTTGTTTCACTGTTTCCACTAATAGTTCACATGCGTAGACACTTAATACACAAAATCGCAACACTTTTACATATCAAAGTCCACTTCAAACCATTATTTAAACAATAATACAGGAGCAGCAAACCGCCGCCGGTTAATTTCCCGCCAAAACTCCCCTTTTCGCTTTATATGTGTATTAGTGTTGCCAGGTCCGGTGGTTTAAATATTTCAATATAATGGGACAGAAGGTAAAAATAATCGAGAATTTGGTTTACAATTTTTTTTTTAAATAAAATAAACAGGTTTTTGTAGCAATTTTGGCGGCCATGGGTTAAACTAAAGTCTTCTTGACACAATGCGCAATGTGTCTTATAATTATTTTTGGGTTTTATATTTCCCCGGTCGAGCCGACCCATTCATGCTACAACTATACTACTCGCTCTATCGGCCGTTTTGTGATTTCGAGTTGAGTTTAAATTGATTTTACTTTTGAATGTCGTTGTGCTTTGTTAAGTAAATTTTTGCTATTTGTCGAGTTTGTTTCTTTAAAATGCGAAAACGAGCAAAAAAATTTAAGGCCAGTCAAACAGGGAGATTACTTTAAAGTGAGATCAACAAAATGGCGGAATATATATAAAATTATTTTATTCCTTTTTCTTAATTTTATCACTTTTTCTAATTATTTATTTATTGGTAGTCCATGAATCGTAAGTTATTTAAACTTAGTATAACATGAATATGATGGTATTGCACCACACTTAAAAATAGAATTATCTTACTTATTTTTGGCGATTGTATTCGCTTGACGATTTTTACGTCCGATTATAAGGCACATCTCTAGTATTTAAAAAAATACAGCTAGTTTGCATAAATGTTACTGCGCACACAAGTGAAAATAAATTAAACTTTTATAATTTTATTTGAAAAAAAAAAACACCACATTAGGTGAGATTTTTGAAGTTTATGTTTATTTAATAGTCATAAAGAATAGAAAAAATTAATAAAAAAATTCAGTATTATTTTCTCATAGTTAAAAATGTTGTCCTAATCTTGGATCTTGCAAACGCACACAAGTTACGTTCTAGTAACCTGTCAACCTGTCACCCGCACCATGCTAAAACATAAAGCAAAGACTAAGGGTATGTTAGCTAAAGATGCCCACGGAAAGTAAAGATGCCACAGATGACGGTAGTTTTGTTGTCCCCTCTTGCGGCGCTTCCCATGTGTCAGATGTCGGATCAGATTTTTAATCAGATTAGGAAGGGATCTGTAGCGGCACCGTCGTCTCGCTACAAAGCGAAACGTACCGAAGCCTAAATCGCCCTATCAAAGTCTTGAAATTACTGCGCTATTAATAGAACAGCTACGTACTAACACACGGAGCGTTGGCCCCTTCCCGGGCAGAACGCCTTGCCCGGCGGGAGATGTCCCCTTTTCCTATAACGGCCACAGATCTGTACACCCCAGTCAGATCCGATTGAAGTTGAAAAGATTTCCATCACTTTAGCTGATAAAATAAAATTTTTGGTGAATCCTGAAAATGTTCATGATATAGACCCACATTGCAGTTATACTAGCTATATACGAGTATATGTGTTACAGCACGAATGAGTCGGCTAGACTGGGCCAGCCCACGCTTACACAGAATAACGCGTGAAACTGCAAATATATGCTGTTGCGTTTCACGTATAGTGAGTGTAGAGAATCGGAGACCCATTTTACTGGTGTAACGCATTCGACAACGACAACGCATTCTGTACTATGAATATTTTATCCACAGCATCTTCTTACTATCAGGTGGACAGTGTGCTCGTTTGCCACCTTTAATAAAAAAAAAATAAGGCGTGACAAAGATAAAGTTTCGTTGAAATTATGAGAAGAACAACAAACAAAGTATAGAAGGTTACGGATGAACATTATTACATTATAAGAATGTCAGATCGATAAGTATAACATACAGCGCCATATATAAACTCATACATGAACGTAGAGCAATGTCCGATATGATTTTTGCTCGGACATGCGTCACTGTAAAACCATCCAACAAACATGTCGGTGCTGACAGAAATAAGTGTCGGATAAATGTGAACTCCATATACCTAAAACGTTAACAAATATATTTTTTGAATTCTACATCGAAGATGTTGCATCTTACCAGTAAGAGAAAGCTTAAAAATATTGCATTTTACTACAAAATATTATGTTCTGATAAAAAATGTTTGCATCAAGCGAACAAAATTAGACGATTCAAATTGGTTGTGCGATTTACTGTGGATAGCAATAGATAGTGTAATGAATTTCCAGATTTCTTATAAAATTCGATCCTTTTTTTTTTTTTTTTTTTTTTTTTTTTTTATAGGATAAGGGTGACAAACGAGCACACAGTCCACCTGATGGTAAATGGTTGCTGCGGCCCATAGACATCTACATCTATCCTCGTTTGCGAATCAAAATGCAGATGCGTTGTCACCCGTGAGGACTAAGATGGAATGCCTCATTTCCAGTAAAAAGGGCCTCCGGCCACCTGCACTCACCAAACGAAACGCAGAGGTAAACCTCTACTTCACGCTGGTATTCTGTGAGGTCGTGGTACCACCCCGGTTCGAGCCGGCCCATCCGTGCGACAGCAAAAGCTGCCGCCTGGCTCTACCACTGTTAAAATCCTAATCCACAGATCGTGATAAATATTGAACGTGTGACCGATAGTGTACCTGAACCACCGCAATTCCACTGAATTCGACATAAGTTTTTTTTTTATAGAATAGGGATGACAAACGAGCACACAGTCCACCTGATGGTAAGTGTCCAGAGTGATGCAACTTTGTTTGAAAGCTGAGAAATCTGCATACAATCATGATTTTATTAATATTTCTGTTGGGCTTTTAAAAATAAAGCGAGAAAAAATATCGCTGTTTCTTTCCTTCGCGTTGCTTCAGATTGCCATTTTAAAAATTAGATACAAATATACATAATTATTATATCGGAAGAAACTGAAAAGGTTAATTCTGTGCTATATTTCTTTTTTGATTTAATTATATACATATTACTTTGAGGTTTGCACAATGAATTGACCTATTAATGGATTAAAATTAAGTTATTAATATTAGCAGAATTCTATCAAGAGAAGCCATGAATTAAAAGAAGAAAAAAATGATATTTATTTGTCAACGTCTTTCATATTGAAAATATTTTCTGAAATTGATTAAAATTTATTTAATAGGTTTAGATTTTAATATTTGTTATTGCTTTTTGCTTCAATTCAGTTATTATCGGTTCAGAATACTTATTTTTGTTTGTAGATGTTTCTTCACGATTGTGTCTGTAAATATTTTTTGTTTTGTCTTTTTTTGAGTTTTTTGTGAGATGTTGACTATTTGAAATATTGACTATAATTTTTTTATAATTTTTTTTTTAATT